GAGAGGGTGACTGTGCGAGAGAAAATTAAAAGGTCTGCTCAGAGAGAGTGAAACCCATGGAGGCAGCCCAGGGGTTATTGAAGGACAGCCCCTTGGAACACGTGGCCAATACAAGGCACCTGCCAAGAATGGTCTGGGAACAGGCTAAAGGAAGGTGACACAGCTGGGAGGAGCAGATTGTTGATCAAATAAAACATGGATATAATAACCAGTTCCAAGGGACATTAGGTGGGAGATAGCTGGGTTGCTGATGCTGTTCTGTAATCATACCCATGAAGCCCTCTTTGCACCCAGGGACTAGAAAGTAACAGATCTGATGGTTTCTCTGCCATGTGGTTTGATAAACCCACAATTTGCCTACACCTTCAAGGGTTCCTGCAGTTTCTACCACCCCTGTTTCAAAAACTGTAGAGGAAGAGGTTCTGAGGAGGGAAGTGGTAAATGGTGATGTACAGTGAGGTTCTGCAGGGCTGGAAAGGGGTGACTGAGAAGGGGGTGTAAGTAGAAACACATCAATCTAAGCAAGTCCCTGGGGGAAATGTGAAAGTCCTGCCTGTGAAACTGTTACAGGAAGGTGTCAGATGTGCCCTCTCTCTGCTACTTCATCTCCAGTGTTGTTGACTTCTCAGTGCTGTGGGAGGCAGGAGGCTGGGCTGGGTGATTTCTCAGTGTGGCCCATAATATTCTTGCATTCCTGTTCCCGTGGAGCTGAAAAGGGTTTAGCTGCACATAATGCAACACATCAGCTGGCCCTGCTCTGAATAGGCAGAGCAGACAGCTGTATCCTCCTGTCTCCCACACGGTTTTATATCGCTGCATTTTTGGAAAACAAGCCATGGTCTCCTCTCCCCTTTAAAATTCAGATCAGTTTGTCAGACAGCCCAACACTCACCTGCTGACGAGTGGCTCCCTGCAGCATCTGTGCCTTGGGCTTTCACTCTCAGTTCTGCGTACGTGGAACCTGAGCCCGGGCAAAAACAGCAGAGCACACAGAGAGAGCTGAGAAACAGCTCCACTGAAACAAAGCTTACCGAAATTCTGAGAAATGCTGAGCTGCTGCGGGCAGGAACAGTGCAGGCAACGAGAGAAGGACAACACACGCGTTTTAAACAGAACCGAAAGTGGAGGCAAATATCGAAGGATGGCTAAGGTTGTTCATCCACATGTGAATGGTGTGAGTGACTAAAACATCGAGGCTAAAAGCTACAGATCATGCTAACCAGGAAGGAGTTAGTGATCTTGTCGTAATCAGTGATAAAAGCCATACTAACATCTGCAGATGATAAGTACAAAGCAGCAGGGAAGAAAAGATGCTGAGGAGGAAGAAAGGATAGGGGCCATTAAAAGTGGGCCAAAAGTAAGAAATAGGATGTTTTGATTTTAGTGAACTTATCAAAGAGATAATATCTGATAAATATTTTGCATAAAATAAGTGAACACATAGAAGAAAATAGTTGGTATGGGGTTCCCAAAAGGCACAAGCAGAGAAACATAAAAATATTATTAGAACTGCATCAAAATTTCAAGTAGAAATACATGGATTAAATGAGAAGACAAATGGAATTTTTAATCGGGTGGTATCTATTGTGGTTGCCTGTCAATTTAGCTGTGAAATTATCTGTTGAAAGAAGTGATAAAACTTTTTTTGGGGGAGCTTTCCATTTGAAAATAGATGAGGAGGGTTTGCACTTGTTGCAAAAAAACCCTACAAGATGGCAAGAAATTATTTCTGTCAAAGAGATAGGAAGGTTAAAAAGAAAAGGAAGAAAAAGAGAAAATGAAATACAGAGACACAGTGTATGAAGTCAGTTATTGTAGGAAGTAATTTTATGCTTCCTAAATGATGCAGCAAAACCGGTGCAAAAGTTTATGCAATAACTTTTAGTGCATTAAAGAAAGATAAATCGCAGGTTAGACTTTTGCAGTGTCTTTCATACTAAATCAATCTAAATCTATGCTTGTAACATTTTACTACTACTCCTTACGTGCCCCAAGGGCCTCTCCCTCACGCTTGCACCCCAGCAAATGAAAAGCAGACCTTCTTACAATTTCCTTTTTGAAAAGAACAACCCCACATGGACACCCCACCTGCCCATTTCTCCCAGCACTGGCCCCCACGTTTCCCTTGTGCCCTCTGGGGCTTTGGTGCCCCATGGCACTCCTTCAGAAGATGTGGGAGGGAGATTGAGGAAAGCAAAGCACACCAGTTGACCTACCTTGCACATCAGTGACCTGCTGCAGTCTGGGTGTGGTTGATTCAGGCAGGTTCAAGTCAGCATAAATAACATTTTCTGCCATTCTTGATCCCTTGTGTCCTCCTTTCCTCCCTCTGTCTTTCTTACAATGACACTGTGGACCGGCCACAACTCAGAGCTCCCTCCCCTCTCTGACCTTCAGGAGGAAGTTCTTTTCTTTTCCGGCCTCACACAAACTCAAAAAGAGAAGAGAATTCTGCTCCTAGTTCATCTTCTGATGGCAGAGAGTTGTTATGTAAGAAACATGAGTAAATAAAGGTTCATGGCCTCCATGTGCCCACGTTTGTTGGGAAGTGCTTCTGTCGCTTGTAGTGTCTTGAGTTTCCAAATCTGCAGATACACACACACACAAACCCCCCCACCTCCTCACCCCAACCCCTCCTTTTACAGTTTGATAAGCCAAGCTTTATTCCCTGAAACAGAAAGCAAAGTTCAGGGATCCAGCATCAGCAGGGAATTGCATTGCTAATGTGGTTATTGTAACGTGAAGTGAGCACAGGAAGCACCCATCCAGTCCAGTCAGCATTTTTACTGCTGCTTTTCTGGAGTCACAAGCACGACACACGAGGGCACTTATCCCACAGAACTTCCCATGAAAACAGTGCCCCTCCTGAGTGTGGAGTGTTGCCCACGCTGAGCAGCAGATCCTGCTGTGCCTTCAGGGAGTGCTGGCTGTGTGGGCTGGGGCTGTCTGAGGAGGGAAGGTGCAATCTGCACTGAGCTGGAACTTCTGAACCTCATTTGACAAGGATGGTGCATGCACCATGGAAGGGATGCTACTGTGGGGCTGCAGCTCCCCTTGTAAATCCTTTCAGGTGACACTGAGGTGCTGCAAAAGTTCATACTGGAGGTGACACATAGGGTGGTTGCATTTTCTGAGCATTTAGCCAGGCTTGTCACAGAGTATTTAGATGTACAACCTTTAATTCTCTTCTCTGGGATACTGCATGCTTCCCACAGAACTATGATGGGAAACAGTAAATATCTTCAGTACCTTACAGATATTTTTATCTGAGCCAATATGGATGGGCCACTGGACCTGTATGACTGTGCTAAGAATTAGATGTCAGTGTTAATATTTATATTGCAGTTCATAGCACTAGTCTGTGTTTGGCTCCCCAGACTCTAAGGGAATGGGCCTTCCACTCCCACTTCATTCCTGCTCTTACCAGTTCTGTTTCTGTATTTCCAAGACCAGTCATGTCCACCTTTTAACCTGTGCAATCCAAACCTCCAGTGGGGCCACGACCAACTTTGCAAAGAAGGACAGGAGAAGGGGAAACTTCTAACACACCCCCTAAAGTTCCTGTCCAACACTTACATTGTCCAGCCTCAGGTCTTTTTGAAATACCTATTGCACTCTTTCACTGAAACATCCAAATTCAAAGACAAGCAGTCTGAAAATGAGCCCCTCTCAGATAAATATTTACAATTTAAATAGACATTATGAAAGAGGAATGAAGTAAACAATTGGGAAAAAAAAATCTTTGTGAAAACAAGCATTTTTTGCCAGTTTTTCACCCACTGGAGATTACTCAGGTAATGACTTTGTTATGGTTATAGTAAAAAGGAAAACTAAAACAAAGCCCAGAGATGTGAGAGACAGAGGCTTAGGAGGAAGACTGCAAATGGAAAACCCCATTTAAACTCCATTTACAGTAACTAGCATGCCTTTCCCTCAAACTGTCTGTTCCATATATTCAGTGGATGTGCTTTACAGCTGAGCAGATGTGGATTTTGGTGGCCAGTAAAGTGCTTGTTTACCTGGAATGTGTCCAGACCTAAACAACTGGGAGATATTTTCTGGTCTGTAAAGGAGTTGAAAAATAACTTCTGTGGGACCAAAATTATTTTCTAACATAACAAAGAGTTTCCACTACCAAGGCAGGAAAAAATACTGTTAGTGTTATATTTATCTTCTGAAAGTAATGGAATGCTTAATACTTTTGAAACCAAGCACTTCAATTTTTCCTTCCAGGATGCTCTCTCGGGAGAAATTAAATGCTTTACGTTTGCCTCAAATCACTTTTTAAAACTTTATTACTAAAAATAAGAACAAGTCTTTCTTTTAAATTAATCTTTTTTTTTTTCCCTGCAGTAATTCACAGCCAAAAGTTCTGCTTGTGTCACAATCACAAAAAGGTTTCAAAAGTGGGAGTTGCAAGAATTATTTTGTAAGAAGCTAAGGACCATAAGGAAGGGTCACTACCTCACCCCCTCTGAAGTCCACCCATTTTTAGACAAGTGCCAAGACAGATTTCACACAAAAGACGTTTTACTGTGGGGTGGAAAAGGGAACTGAAAACAGCTGAATGAAATAAAACCACTGTGACATCACTTCACTGCTATAAGCTGTTTTTCTTTCTGTGTCTGGATAACATTAAACTGCCTGTTCCTTTTCTGCGATTAAAATGAAATGAAACAAACCAACAGCCTGGTTTTTATTTAGCAGCCTTGGTGGCATCTTTTCCCTCTAAACTCCAGCTGCTATGACATCAAGCATCTACCCCTAGTGGTTGCCTGACAGTGAAGAAAACAGCAATTCCCAAGGATGTCCTGTCCTATTCCTAAGACACATTTAAGAAGAAACCTTTGGAGGGGAACTGATGTCTCCACTTCCTACAGAGGAAATCGAGTAAATGAGTAAAAGTTGCTCAGAGCCCCATCCAACCTGGCCTGGGACACTGCCAGGGATCCAGGGGCAGCCACAGCTTCTCTGGGCAACCTGTGCCAGGGCTCCACTACTCTCCTAGGAAACAATTTCTCCCTGATATCCAACCTAAACCTGCTCTCTGTCAGTTTGAAGCCATTGCCCATGTCCTGTCACTCCAGGCCCTTGGAAATAGTCTCTCTCCATCTTCCTTGTGGGCTCCCTTCAGGTCCTGGAAGGCCACAGTGAGGTCCCCCCAAAGCTTCTCTTCTCCAGCTGAACAATCCCAACTCTCCCAGCCTTTCCAGACTGAACAATCCCAATTCTCTCAGCCTTTCAATGTGCTTTTATTTCAATACACCTGCAGCATGACCCCTGGCAAAGGGGGCTGCAGGGGAAGCCTTTTCATCTCACAGAGAAGTAGATGCTGCCGATAGGAAGGCACCTCCTATCACAATGTCAGATCCAGGCAATCCTCCACGAGGGCTGGATCCAAATGCCACCCAGCCAGTTGTACGGATCTGCAGCTCAAATGTCATCAGCTCCTGATCATCGTGGTCCCAGAGGATGGATCCTGTTGGGAGGATCCAGGAAGGTGGAGAAACGCAGCAGTGGAGCTGCAGGCTGACCAGAACAAAAGCAGGGGAGGAACAAGAGGAAGAGCATGCCCTGGATTCTGGAGAAGGACACTGCCATCACTGCAATTTCTGAGTTTTGGTGGCACCTTGGAAGTGCAGGAGGCTGGGCCTGGTGCCAGAAAGGAGGGCTGGAAACCGACTGTTCTGTATCCAATTTAAAATGCAGGAAAGATCAACATTTTACATAACATGCCCTGGCGTCCTGCCTGAGTGAAACTGTGCTAGGCCATCTCATCCACATCTTTAAACATTTTTAATTGCTGCCTTGTATGACAGAACCAAACAAAAAGGCAATAAAGTGTTTGCCTCCTGCCCAGTGCTCCTCAGGGGAGGTGGATGTTGGCTCTTCTCCAGCAGGGAAAACGGACCCTTCTGACTAACTTGTCCTTCCACTGCAGATTCTGAAATGAGCCCTGATTATTGTCTGGTGTGATGATTATTAAGTTTGTTGGAAATAGGCTGAGTTCTAGTGCCTCCTTATCAGAGGAAGCTGCTGTGGCTGCAATCTGGGCTGCAGTGGGAGAGCAGAACAAGGAAAATGCTCCGTGTGCTATTACTTGTCAGGAGTGAGTGGAAGGAGAAAAGTGCATCATCTGTTGTCCTGCCTGAGACCTCTCAGTGTAATGACATGAAAAACAAAGACCCTCAGCAGGTTTCCAACCATCTCCAATGTGCCCAGTTGCATAATCCACCAAAAACAGAGCCCAGGTCTGTGGGGTTTGAAGAACATGGCAGTTTATTTGTATTTACTTGCTGGGAAAGTCTAGAAAAGCCCACGTGTTAATCTTCTGGGACAAGTGCTCACAGAAGAGATTAAAAACAGAGAAGGAGAGATATCTGATCTGTTCTTCAGGATTAAAGGGATCAAGTAGAGGCCCAAGACACTGTTAGAGGGGAACTAGGCAGGGCTGAGGGATGCAGTGAAGGAAATTTGAAGGCTAGGACAGCACAAGGAGATCAAAACTGAGAGACTTTGGCCCTTTTGTGGGGACAACCAAAGACAGAGTTAATGACGAAGTGGGGAGGGAAAAAGGCAAAGGAATCTGCATTGCAGAACTGCTGGGGGGAGAATTTTTCACTGCTCCTGGTTCTCCACTTTTAAATGGAAAATCCCTTTCTCACGTGGAGGGGAGCGTGAGATTGGGGGAGGCAATTGAGAGGCTGCTGGAAAATAAAGCTGTCCCCGAGTTACCAGGAGGGGTGGCTTAGCTGTGTGACAAAGATTAGAATTGCATGGTCTCTCTGATGGAATAGGATGTGGTCTCTGCATGCCACTGCTGAGGGGCGTGGGAGAGATGTGCAGGATGGGGAAGGTGCCACAGATTGGCAGTGAGCAACACGCCAAGGAAGATTATAAAATTGTAGATGACGTGAGAAGAGGGAAGGAGGTAAAAACTGCTTCCTTTAAAAAGCTGAATGCTCAGACAGGAGCCAAGTGTGAAAAGAGAGAGGAGAGTCAGAAACACAGGATGCCAATGGCACCTCTGAGGATCTGCCTCAGGCACCAGAGGGAGAGAAGAGGGAAGGGGTGAAGATCCACCGAGTTTTCCCTTTGGGGGTTATGATGAGAGACAACACGGGTGACGAAGAGGAATGGAAATGCTATGCCCAGTACCCTTTTGAAGCAACCCTGATTGTTCCACTGCTGAAACCCTTTGCTGGCACCACACACATCCCTGACACGCAGCCAGCTCCAGCCCCGTGTCTGCCCAGCTCAACAGCTCCCTGCTGCAGTGCGTGGTAGGAGAGGAAGCA